GTCCATCCGTGCGTCCGTCCGGAGTCATATCTCAGAGTCCCTTGGACCGATTCCGTTCATTCTTTGCATGTGCCTAGTACTTTATGTGGGACATATGCACATGCAGTGGTTTAGCGATTCGATTCAAAATGGCCGACTGGCAGCCATCTTGTTTTTTGAAAATGTTGTATTTTGGACATGCTTTGTCAGTTGTCATTCAAACTTGGTACATAGATTATACATGTTAGGATACATGTCCATGATGGATCAAAGATGGTCGACTGGCAGGCATCTTGTTTTTGTTTTTTTATGCGGTATCTTGGACGTGCTCTGTCAGTTTTCATTCAAATTTGGCACATACATGTACTTTATACATGTTAGGATGCATATCCATGACAATTTGTTTCAAAATCTGGTCAAGGATGGCCGATTGACAGCCATCTGACTTTTTGGCCTTACTACTATATTTCCACAATTTATGTACCATTTTCATTCGTATTTGGCACATACATCATGCATATCAGTGTGTTTCATAATCAGATCAAAGATGGCTGAATAACGGCTGTTTTTATTTTGGCCATATTACTATGACACGAAACACGTGTTTTGATGTAAATAAACAATCTGTTGTATACGCCACTTGGAACTCAAGTTTCAAGGACACGCTCGCGACAACCCCTCCGCTTTAATATGACGAGCACAAAGAGAACTTAACGGGGACTGTGTCATTTTCAATGACTTGTTTTTACTGAATCATTCCTTCAGTGAAAATAGCGAAAATTAATTCCAAGCGAAAATAAAGTATTTTACAGGAAGCACAGAATGAACATTCATGTATGTCCATGCTAGGAATGACTACTGACGTATTGAATTTCATCGTTGTCTCTCCTAACTTTTTATATGCATAATTGCAAATACTATATTTACAGTGCTTAGCAGTGATAATAGAATCGTTGCAGTGCTTTTATCATCAGACACGCATTTATGTTCGGAGTTTTATGTTCTGTGCCGTAAACTTATGTATACGTCACAGCTACGCTAGAACAATGAATTTATTTATAAGTCAAGTCTTTTTTATATACTTGTTTTTTTCTCTTTCTTTCTTTGTTTTTATTTATTGTCTTTTGTTGTTTTTTGTTTTTTTTGTTTTTTTTATGGGATGTACAAACTTTTCACTTTATATCTTGCAATAAAGATTTAATAAATAAAATAAATATTGTCATAGAAACTATTTCTCATGTTTGATACCTAAATCCAATCTCCTACACAGAGTTCTATTCCTACAAACATATCTCTACCACCATGCGATCTTATGCAACAAAAACATGCCAAGAATACGGGAAGTCAAAGTCTTGTGGCATTTCATCATAAAATGCTGGTTTGTGGTGGAAGAGATACTTTCGATGTTCTATCTGTAAGAATCTCTGTGAAGGAGAATGACCTAAGTTCGTCCCTTTGCATCGCATCTTGTATCTCGCAATTAAAGCTATCACCTGTTCATCCTACATTAAATAAATAAATTTTAACATTGTTTTTTTTTTGCTTTCAGGAATATGAATGACTCTGGGTCAAACTTACATCAGTGGCTAGCGAATTCTGTAAATAAGTGAGTAATTTCTTTAGTCCCCATTTGAACACAGTCTGAAAGTGGACTTATGCATGCGTCTCCACCTGTATCAGATAAGCCTCCCCCAATCACATTCACACACACATCATTTTTCTTGGGATACA